CCAGGATATGTGTCAATAATCCTTCCCATATGCCATTTCATAGGTGGAAAAGAATCAGATTGAATCAGTACTACAGAATCCTTTTTTATTTCAGAAGAGTTATTGAGCCATTTGCTCTTTTGATGAAGGGTAGGTAGGTAGGTTCCATGTGAGTGGCTCCACTGCGACCGCAGATGGGTCTATTGTGGCTCACCCCTAGAGGTTACAGTTCACCGTACAATCTACATCTTTTCACAAAGTCCACGGTTGAATTGGGTGAGATTTGTCTGAAATCGATGAGTTCTAAATTGGTAAAGCAAAATATGTCGAACCTCAGCCTCTCGAAGCGAGGGCATGAACATATGTGTCCAGCCGTTTCGTTTTCCACACAGCAGAACCGACAGTCCGTTTGTTGATTCAGGCTCATCCTTCCCAGGTGGTATCTTAGTCGACAGTGTCCCGTAAGCAGTCCTGTCAGAATTTGCAGGTTCCCCCTGCGTCATTCTAGGATCTGGCTGGTTATATGTTTCGATGGTTTAGGCAGAAACGCCTTCGAATAGGTTAATCCTGGTAATTCAGACCAGTATGTGTCTTTTTCCCTGCGTTCAGTCCGAGATAGTTGTTTTGACCGCACTTGCAGTGGTCCTATGAACACAGATTCGGTTCCCTGTATGGCGAGGATGTCGGTTTTCTCGTTGCTCTCCACCCCCTGGTGCCCAGGCACCCACAACAAAGTAACTCTGTTGTTTGCACCCAGGCATTCTAGGGATTCAATACAGTTCCATACAAGCTTGAAATTTACCTTGCTAGAGCTCAGTGCTTTAAGAGCAGTCTGACTGTCTGATACAAAACTGATGTTCTTGTTTATTAGAGGTATATTCGTCAACTCTCTAGCTCACAATTCAATTGTGAAGACCTCCGCCTGAAAGATTGTAGCATACTTACCGAGATTGACAGAGATTTCCGTATTCGGTTTTCTGCTGAACACACCGGCTCCAACGCCAAGAGGGGTTTTCAAACCATCTGTATACATTACATGTTCGGTCTCTGGGAAGTGGACTGATTCACTTACCCACTTCTCTTCGGGAAGAGGACTTTGAAAGACTTTTTCACGTGTGTCCGAGTAGCCAATATGTCGGTAACCATTCCTAGAGTATGGTGATTTTTGATTTCACAAAGTAGTAATGACCAGGCATGCCAGCCGCTAAAGACCAAGCTTTGCCCTGGCGGTCCCTTGCAGACAGTCCACCAGACTACCGAGCCATACGTGACCATTGGTTTTACCATTGTTTGGTCAATCCAGTAAATCTGTGTGGGGTTCACTCCCCAAGATTTTCAGCTTACCCTTCTGAGGTTCCAGAGGGAGAATCTGGATTTGTTAATAGTTTCTGCCATGTGGGCGTTCCTGGTGAGTTTTGTACCTAGATATTTCACCTCCGCCGCAAACGGAATGTTCTCTCCATATAGGACAGGCTGAAAAAGCTTATCTAGCTTTTGCCTTTTGGTAAAAGGGATGATTACAGTTTTCCGGGGGGTTCACAGACATATGCTCCCTCTCGCACCATCTGTACACAGTATTTAGGGCTTCTTGTAGGCCGTTTGAGATCGTCGCTTCAAATTTTCCTCTTACTATTAGGACTAGATTATCTGCATAGCATTGGAAATCCGTCCTCAGCCTGGAAAGACCGTTCAGCGAGAGTTAACTAGGGATGGCCACATAAGGGGCGAAAGTACCCCGCCCTGTAGACAACCTTTTGCCGCGCTGAACCTGATCGACTCTCTTGATGGAAGGTATGTAGATATTCCTTTGGCCATCTGTCCCAAAAATCCATCTGCAGATGGACAAGTAGTTGCCAACGAGACAATCGGTTAAGAGGAATCTCACGAAGACCCGGTTCAGGCATAGCGGTCAGTGGTTTCAGGGTCAGGAAATGACCTGGGGTAAGCGGCCGTGAATTGAAGATAGCTTCAACTTGGTTAATACTGTCGAGTTCTTCATATGTCAACACCACTCTAACAATATGGGACTTTATCGACTTCACCCCCGCTTCCCACAAACCTCCAAAGTTTGGAGCGGGTGCCGGAATTCTATTTAAGGTGATACCTTCTTGAGATACTGCATCTCTGAGTAAGTTCTGAATTTGGCAACAGGCCCCTAAAAAATTTTTGTCCCCATCAGAGTAGATGATTTGATATCGACCTCGACGCCCTACAAAACGACGTAGGGCAGCAAGGAAAGCTTCATACGAAAGATCGGAAACGAATTCAGGTGTAAGGCCCTTGTGGCGAAGCAAACAAAAAGACAAAGATATGCCTTTGAGGTTTTTGAACCTCGAAACTTCCGACATCTTGATGGAAAAAGGACCTGCATAATCCATCCCAGCATGAAGAAAAAGTTTTACACGAGTAACACGAGCAGTGGGGTGACACCCATTCGGGGCTGAATAAATTGCGGATTGACGCTCCACCATTTGAGGCATTTTGTTAAGACTTTTCGAATAGTTCGCTTCGAGGATATGGTCCATAATTGTTGTGTGATTATAAATTGGACAGTTTGAGCAGCTACATTCAGATATTGTCGATGCGTTGACGAAATAAGTCGCTCAGTCAAGACACTGCGACTTGGCAAGAGAATGGGAAATGTTCAATCAATTCAACCACTCGAAGAAATCCTTGCCTATCCTGAAGACTGACAATTTTCGGAAAATTTGCGGCAGTAGTTCACCTTTTTCAAGATCTGCAATTTCTTCGACAAAATGAATAGATTACTGATGCTTCACTAGTCAAGAGATGAAAACAAAGTCCTGACGAACTTAGGCATCCTGGCAATCGGCTCTCAGGATTACGGATATTATTAAGAAATCTCATGATATACTAAAATGCGATAGCAAGTATTCAGCGAAGAATGATTCTCGAGAAGAAGATCGAGAAGGTAGGGGGTTATTTTCTGTACGTCAACAATTGCGGTTGAAACAGTTGTGCGTTCTTTTTTGAGAGTCTCATCAGATGAAGAAATATCACTTTCATGACTGGAATTTATCGACTGAAGAAGAGCTGGCCCCGCCTACTATAACGAACAAGCGGTTAAATCTCTAGGAAACATGCCTCGAGAACCGATATCAGTTGGGTTGTCAGCTGAAGCGATATAAAACCAGGATTCTAGTTGAGCATTTTCTGAAACTAGAGAAACCCTGTTGGCAACAAAGGTGTTCCATCAGTGTGGTGAAGATTTCAACCAATATTAGGAATTCATGGAGTCGGACCAACAATAAATCTTACTTGTTTTTAGCTTATCGGAGTACACGCTAGAGATGAAGGCCACCAAACGAGAAACTAACACAGCTGCGCAAAGTTCCAGTCGCGGAATTGAAATTCTCTTGAGATGTCAGACCTTTGATTTGGAGCAAATAAAATGAACTGAAACTTCATCAGTTACTGAAATAAACCGAAAATACGCAACAGCCTTTTTCTCTCGAATCTCCAAAACCATGAAGTTCACAACTTTTATTTACAACCATATATGTAATGTTGTCATTACTAACGTCATTGAAGGTTGGGAAGTGTCACATTACACACCTCTACTTCCCGCCTTCACTTCCCGCCCCTCACTACTTCCCGCCCTCACTTATGTAATATTTTAGGTATGTTCAGGACGAAACTGAGATTTATTAATTTTGATGGAAATATGATGGTTGTAAATATAATAGTATACAAACCTCGGTAGGAAGTTTCATTCCTGTCTCGAAATTATTGCTAACCTCGACGCTTTGCGTCTCGGTTAACTGACTAATCTCACAGCAAGAATGAATCACTTCCCCCCTCGGTGTTTAATATACTATTTAAATTGTTGAAAATTATATAACCAGTTATTTATATATTTTTCAATGATGGCATATCCGTTTTGATTTTCTCCCATATTCGGATTATGTCATCGGACGATTGTTCATCCCATCCAATTTTGAGAGACCAGATGTGCTGAATCAAATGTTTTATTATAAATGTAACAGGAGAGAGAAATCCTAAAAATATTTTATAAAATTGTATTTGCCCATCTAATAAATCATTGTCACTTATAATACCACGAGAGCTTCAATAAGACGAGGTAGAATTATCTAAATATTCGTGTTCGAGAAAATTTTTTCCGGATATCAATTGGAGCTAGAGTTGTATTCGGTAAGAACATTTCACACCGAAATATTATTGAAAAAAGATCAGTATAAGATTACGCTGAATAAAATACAAAATAGGTAGGTCTTGACTTCAAATGAACAAAATATTAATAAAACAGCTGGTGGTAGTTCAAACTATTATTCTTCACTAACTTTATTCCACCAAAGTTGGTAAAAACATAATATTATTTTTTTGTTACAAGGAACTTGGAGCAGTATGTGGCAGGTAGGTATAAATGAAATTCGAAATCGACAACATAACATTGTTTTGTAACTCAGACAGAGGACACATTTTATCTAGGTGATTTGGGTTGAATCTTCATATTTTAAGCTCAGCATTCTATAGTTGAGATATTTCAATGTATACGGTTATCTCTTCATGAGGGCTATGTCCAATAATCTCCTCCTAGTCAGTTTACAGTTCCCTCGATAATAATTGCATCTTATTTTTTGTACTCCTGGACACGGATGTCACGCAGGTAGCTATAGCTGCCTCCATGGTGACGTTAGCTGTTTCCCTGAAACCTCAGGGTCTGCTGACCGAAATCACAAATGTGCGGCTGGCTTCTGTTTGTTGACTCCGTTTATTTGTTGTTTCGTTCTCTACCAAGTGCTGCCTATCCTTTGCACTTCCTTTCACCGTACTGATGAGGGCCGAAAGCCCTATCTCTTCATGAGGGCTATGTCCAATAATCTCCTCATATTTATTTATTTACTGTCAAGTGACAGGGATATCAAAAACCTACCCACTGCTCTGTGTTCTTCGCAGAGAAGTATGACCCTTCGACATTATTATTTATTATTCAAGGTCAATGAATTCATGAATCTCCTCATCTGAACTACGACACTCACCTGTAGAGGCGGCGGCGACACGGACACGGCCTTGGTCAACTCACTCCTCGACTCTTGTCGCTGCTCCGCCATGTGAGCCTTGCCCGTCGTCGTGCCGGCCGAGCCGATCGTCGTGGTAGTAGTCGTCGAGACGGCGGGACGCGTCTGCGCGTCTATCGGGACCGCCGCCGCCACGGTCATGGTGGCGGCGTTCGTGGTGGTCGGACACGGAGCGAGATCGATGTCGCCGTTCAATAGAGCGTCGTCCGTCTTGGTCGACTTGTCGGCCATGGTGCACTTGATGGGCAGAACGGGCGCTAACCTACGACAATACTTATGATGATGGAGCCATATTGAATAGATAGATAAATAGATAGATAGATAGATAGATAGATAGATAGATAGATAGATAGATAGATAGATAGATAGATAGATAGATAGATAGATAGATAGATAGAAATATACTTTATTGTCTAAGAAACAGAATTTCTTATTGACAAAGCATAGTATTCAAAATTGAATAAATGTGTATAACATAACATAAACATATACAACTAAATTAATAATATAGAAAAAATAATAAACTTATTAAGAGTGTGAAAGGACAATAAACAGTACACATTGAAAATTGAAGTGAACAATTGTTATAACAGAGTTTCATTGTAAAATTCCTCAATATTATAGTAGGCTCTTTTCAGAAGGGCATCTTTCACCAGTTTTTTAAATTTACTATGATCTTTTATAGTTCTTAGTTCAGTGGGTATTTTTTTTTATCGCTTGGAGCGCGCGAAAGGGAATCCCTATAATGTTCAAAGAACATCGTGCGTTCCTAGGGAGGATAGGGATAGGAGGTAGGTATTGGAATTTTTTTTGAACTTCTGAAGATTATATGTTGTTAGGAATATTCATTATTCCAAATTTTTTGGGATTTTCTCTCCTCGTTTCTATAAAATGAAAATATGAATATTACCTCAATATACGTGTAGCAAGGACAAATCAGATGATTTGCCCCAAAATGTCACTGCGTTCAAAAGAATTTTCCTATCAGAGAGCCTAAAAGAAATTCACTAGCTTGTCAGTGACAATTTGTATTGAAAGAATTTTTGGAGAAGAGAAATAAAGGTATATAGAAAAAATATTTCAAATTTTCACTTATCTTTGGACGTTTCGGGACCGGTTCTGCTCCCGTTTTCAACATGAAGAGATTATTTCAATACAAATTGTCACTCACAAGCTAGTGAATTTTTCTTTTAGGCTCTCTGATAGGAAAATTCTTTAAAGCAGTGACATTTTGGGGCAAATCATCTGATTTGTCCTTGTTACCCATATATTGAGATAATATCAATATTTTCATTTTATAGAAACGAGGAGAGAAAATACCAAAAAAATCTGGATTAATGAATGTACCACCTCTTCGATTAACCTACAGACAGTATTTGTTGGGAATACTTCCTCAGGCAATGAATTCCAGAGCCTAGCCGGTCTATGGATGAAGGAGTTTTGATAAAGTGCTGTTCGACATCTTTCGAGGTTGACAACGAAAGGATGTGCTGACTGGGCTTGTCTAATTCGTCTGATTGGTATTGCTAGTGAAGGGATGATAGCAGAGATTTCCGAAGAACATTTCCCGTGGAAGTATCGATAGAAAAGTGAAAGGTCGCCGACGTGAAATGAGATGTTCGAGGCACTCTAGCATCACCCACCAGGCGGATGGCTCTTCTCTGTATGGAATCTAAGAGCATCAGCGTATGTTTTGGTGCTGAACCCCATATGTGGGAACAGTATTCTAGAACAGGCCGTATCTGCGCTTTGTAGATCATGAGAAGCTGTTGAGGTGTAAAGTAGCTTTTCGCACGGAACAAGAATCCGAGTTTTTGTGAGGCAGCTTTTGCGATGGATCTGACATGATTATCCCATGAGAGAGTGTTGCTGATGGAAATACCGAGCATAGAAATGGTGGGCTTCGTGGAGATGGTGGTGCCAGACATTACAATGTCGGGCATACTGAGTTCCGCCTTCCTAGAGAAAATACATGCTTGAGTTTTGGTGGCGTTGAATTCAACTAGGTTGTTGGTTCCCCAGGCTGTGATTTCAGCAGGGTCTTCATTGACAGCACTGACCTGCCTGCGCCGTAAGTTCTTAGTTTCTAGGGAAGAAATGGGAATTCTGGAAGAGAACGCAGTATGGAGGGTACTATCATCTGCAAAGCTGTGGATGGGGCAAGTTGTTACTCCCAACAGATCATTGATATGAAGTAGGAATAATGTTGGTGCCAAAATTGATCCTTGTGGAACGCCGGAATTGATGTCAATGGTATCAGACGATACACCGTTAACCACTACATATGGTTATAAACCTTTTTACTTTCGAATAACAAAGAAAATTTTGTCAAACTAGATTTTGGAATGGGTAGAGCAATTTTTCTCTGTTATTTGTCGGGTCACATAATTTGTTTGTACTGTAGTCTCCGCCATATACTTTTTGTGAATTAGACATACCGTTTCCAATATGAATAAACTTGTCAGAGTGAGAATTCCTAAGTTTGAAAACAGTGGTCTGCATGACTCTCGAATACCTACCTTGCCTAAGTACCTTATAGCACGTTTCTGCAGTACAAACACTGAGTGAAAAAGTTGTTGGCTACAATATCCCCAGAAAGCTATTCCATTTCTCATATGAGATTCAATCAGAGAGTGATAGACCATCTTTGCTATAGATGAACTCAATTCATTAGTGACAATTCTGAGAGCATAACATCCGGATGCCAATTTTTTAGTTAGAGCTGCAACATGCTGATAAAATTTCAATTTCTCGTCTAAAGTTATTCCTAGGAATTTTGTATACTTTCTGTTATCTAGAATTTTTCCGTTTAAGCTTAAATCGTTGCAGCCAAAACTAAAGCCCATTATATTTGTATTTTTTTTGTGTGATTAAAACAGAGATAATTTGCTTCGCCCCATTGCTAAACCGTTCCCAAGTCTCTAGCAATATTATTTCTTATGTTGTCACAATTTTTTCCCTGCCATAGTAGGGTAGTATCATCAGCAAACATGGCGAATCTTCCCTGAATGGGAACAGTGGCCAGGTCATTCAAATATAAAAGGAAGAGAATTGGACCTAGGACAGATCCCTGTGGGACTTGTGGTCAAGGTACACTTGCTGACCTAAGAGAGGGGCGTTTGCAGGGTGTTTCCTAACCGCTCTGACAAAATGAAAGGAACGAATCCTCACTTGATTTCAAGACAAAAATGTACAATAGGTTTTTTTCTAATGTCGCTTAGTTTCAAGATATAAGGTGTCCAAATTTTGTTTAGATTTTTGTTTTCAAACAGCCTGTACTTCGAAAGTAAAGCGCCATTCAAAAAACTTTATTCACATATTTTCGCATCAAAATTAGGTTATTATTGCAATCAATTCAAAAGGAAACTTTCCTCGTGTTTTTCTTATAGGTTTTGTGTGGTCCATGGACATGCAATGAAGTAGATTTGTTTTTTATATTGGAAACAAAGCTAGATATGGAAACATCCTAGGAAATGAAAAAGTTGTAACATAAATTGCCTAATCAGTAAAAAAATTGAATCTCAGATCCCCTCATAACTATAAAACAAGAAATTGGATGAAGCATGTCTGAAATAAAATGAAAAACTAATTTGAAAACAAAATTTGATCATCTCTAATTATGAAAACTGAGCAACATTGATTTAAAAAAAAATCATTCTACACTGTCGTCTTAAAATTAATCGAAGATTCGTTCTTTTCATTTTGTCAGAGAGGTTAGGGAACACACTAGATCGTTCATCACTTCATTCTGAACTATACTGGACAGAGGCCCACATTATTATTATTATTAATTTATTTGAATATTTTCACCCCAAAGTGATTTTACTCAAAAACAGCACCTCCTATTAATCAGGATCAACAAATATTCCCTTTTCAAGTAAAACCTCGTTTTTTTTATTTGAATTTGACATAAAAACCAATACATGAAAAAGTGGTGGTTGATAGATTCTGTGAATAATTTTGAAATGTAACAGGCGTACCTCTATCCCTAACATGTTGGAACAAGTTTTATATTGATTTTCATTTTCAAACTATTGAAGGGTTTATTTTGGGATTATCTAAATCACTTTATTTCAAGTACATAAATACATAATTACCTAAGTAGAATGCTTACGAGTAGGGGATGAACTCAATGTTTTATAAAGGACTGAAAGAATATTATGCTTCTTTTCCTCAAAGCATAAAAGAATGTGAGAATGTTTGAAACTTTAAAAAATGTATTAAGGAGGACCTGAAACAAAGAGTCTTGCTATGATGGAATGATAGTAATGTAACATACGTCTAATAATGGACTGTGAGAGTTCAAAACATGTACAGTAACAAGCAGGAACATATCGCTTAGATAATGTTAGCAGAAGTGACTAATAGTGTTATCACCACTCTTGTGCGACATGTTATCTGCATGAACCTCTTAAAATATCTTGGAGATGACTGAGCTTTCTTCTCTTCATGAACTTCACTGCACGCCACTTTGAGTTACTACGGACTTTTACCAAAAATCAATGCAATGTTTTTTTTTTCGCTTCACATTATAGGACTTTTGTTCTCAATTTGACCAATAGGCGAGAACACGAATTTCTGGAAAAAATACCATGACCTTTAGTATGACGATAAAAGTCTCTGGTATTTTTTTCAGATTTTTATTCGAAGTAGTTTTTCCACAAAAAATTTGCAAAGTATTGATCCCGTTCAAACGAGTTGGAATATCGCGCGTTAATGTGACGTGACAAGTATTAGACGGTGATCCGGCAACGTCGCTTGATATCTTCTGGACTGTTGACTGTGTGGACAGTTGACGATTCGTTCATCTGTCACTACTGTCAGTTGTCATTTCATTTTATTGTTTATTTGTTTTTGTCGGCCAATATTATTTTTATTCGTGCCATCGAATTATATATTTTTTCTCCTCTACGTTGATTCCCATTTCTGGGATGGCAGTGGCTGTAAGGAAATGCCACAAACTTGGTTCCATCCTGCTTAATCAACATTGAACAAAGTATATGGATAAACCGAGGGATAAACCATACCTGGAATCAAATGATATATTTTGCTGGGAGGATCGTTTTGATGTGAGTAGAATTTTTACTTCAATATGGATTGATCATACTCATTTTGTTCTAGCTTGAATATGACATGTTGCACTGGGTGGAATTAAAACTCATTGGATCTAGAGTTTATATGCCTGAAGATGTGATTCCATATTCATTAAATGTCCAAACCTGAGAAAACACCCATCAAAATCCTAACTTTCATCTTCAGCACGGAAAAGGAGATCTCAATAATCCCTTGAGATTTTGGGAGATAAGATAAAATGGAACTCCCCTCAAATCATATTGACTCTCCTTGAGGAAAATTCTTGGAAGTACCAGTGAGTGTTTTAGTTGAAGAAAGTTTTCTTGAAGAACCTGAAAAGGAACCTGTCATGGAAGAGACTGACATCAAATACTATGAACCAGAACCAAATTGACGTTCCCATAACATATTGTGATGAAATGACTCAGGACTGTTGCTGATTCGATATACTAATATGTTTGTGATTTTTACCATCATGATTAAGTTTATTTGTTTTCTTGCAAACTTTGTGATGCTCTGGACAAGATATTGATATAATATTTCCATGTTCTACATGTATATTCATTGTAGAAATGAAATATATCTATTAGGAGGTCTATTGATATTTAACTGTTCTAATTATATCTACTGCATAAAATGGACAATAAATGAAAATTTCCACCAACATTCTTGAGCATTCTTGCTTCATTTTGAAGATGGGGGCATTTGATAATTTCTGTGTAGGTACTACCTATTTGTTTACATTTTTGAAAATTTTCCCCACATGAAATAGTGACAATACCTATCTAGTAATTTCGGCTTGTATGATTTTGTTTTTCACATTGAGAATTGATGGTTCATCTTCCATCATTTCTAGATATGCCAGTGCTTTCTTGGTTTATACTCACTGAATTTTTTTCTGACTACTTTCATTACTTTTTTGGTGTAATGATAGGTATTGGTCTTTCTTACCAATATTCCACTGACAATAAAATATGAATGAACTAGGTTGTTCGACAAGAAGTAATCATGAATTTCATATACCTACCATCTCCAGTTTGTGAAGGTATAGTGTATGATCAATATGAGAAGGGATTTTGAAGTTGTGTATGATGAAATATGTTATTTTTAAGACACTGGTGAGCTTAAAGGAGTCCAATTTTGGAATAAGAGAAGAAAAAAGTACTGATATTTTATAATTTCATTAAATGGGTGAAAATAACAGTTTGCCAAAAATGTTCAGCATCTTTTATAATTTTCTAAAGGAATATAGGGTCATATGACACTTCAAGTAACTGAAAACTACCATTATTCTCAAAATTCTCCTGCTCATCTAATGTACCTTCGAATGTCTTGCACTTTGTGCCTCATAGCTTTGAAGCAGTAATTCTTCTATAGCAAACTTCAAACCATGCTGATAATGATGATTTGTTTTGATTCACTTTTATATCTTGCACCAATTCACAGTCACTGATATTCTGATGAATGAAGTCTTGGAATCTCCCAGGAGACAAATTGGGTGAATGTTTTCTGGACAAAATAATTAGCTTATGAATCAGAATCAAACTTTCAAAAACAGTTATCCTTGGCATCCATGTTTTCCATCTACTTGAAAAACTTCTTCAAGAAATTTTGATGGAACCACTGGGAGGGTAGGATCTTGTTTTGGTGCTAATTCTACAAGTGGCATGAATGTTGATAGGAAGCTCAAAAATTTGGTAGTTTGGACACTGAGTTGGACACTTTTCAGTAACACTCCATAGAAGGTACAGAGGGTTCTTCTGATCTTCCATGTAACCATAATAAGAAAGCCACACTGTGTTTACATCTACCTAAGAATATAAAAGAATACAGTTTATAAAAAAGTCAAGAATTTATGTTTTGAAACTGCACAATCCAGACTACAGTTTCTTCAGCTTCATGAATCTCAGCCTCAACCCTTTATGGTGTAGGACGAACTTTATGTTCTGGACTAATCTTCACCTTTATGAAACAGCTCATGCCAGTTATTTGAACTTGCAGAATTCAAAAACCATAGTTGAATCAACTACTGGAAGATTGTGATTGCTTTTTCGAATACTGGCTTCATATCTCCAATCAATAAACATGAACCATCAGACTATGTCACAATAATAGTCACAATTATTTGAATATTTTGATTACACAAGAAAATAATTAAGCAAATGAAAAATCACAGAAAAACTCTGATGTGTTGATGTTTAGGAGTTCGGTTTCTTAGGTTAGGAAATATGTTAGAATATTTTGAAGGTACAGTACAGCGTTGCCAAATGCACGCCAATACTTGTTACGTCATCACGTATCAGCCATTATTGGTTTTTTGAATGGTCCACAAATTTGTATGGTTTTGAAAACGCGTTCTTTGGATAATGAAAGCATTTATTGTTGAAAAAACTACTGGTACACATTATTTCAATGTTATATTTATTTCTTATGCACATTTGAACTGAATTCGTGCTATTGTGTTCTCGCCTATTATGATCTCATTGACATAAAACAGCGTCATACGCAAAGTATGATGCATCTGTCGACATTTTGAATGTCGACCGAGGATTGGAAATTCTCAAAAATGTCGCTGATCTTATTATTCCTTCCAACTTAATGTCACATTCCACAAACCAAATTGATTTCTTGTTTACATTTCAACGCCTCTTATGATTTTGTAATATTACTGTGCTTTCTGGGGAATCTCCTGAAACAGGTCGATTTTTATTCTCATTTTGCCACATTTATAAGGGAAAATTAAATATACATGATTTATGACGACCGCAACAATTTTTTCAAATGGAACAATTTTTTTCAAATGGACCACCCTATACATTATTCAATTTTTGGAATTATCATCAAACACTGAATTAAAAAATGTATTACATATAGGGTTTATATACAGTGCGTCCGTTGAATTGAGTGCTCTCAGTTAGCCACATATATGAGGAAAAATTAAACATACAGGGTGATCCACGTTTCAGTTAAGACGTCCGCGACAATTTTTTCACCTAGAACAACCTATATGTTATCTAATTTTTTTAAATCTCTATAGAAAGGTGGATTCAAAAATATATACCATACAGGGTTTGTATACATTGCGTTCTTAGTTAAATTGGGTGCTTTTGTGAAGTAATCCGCACAATCTTATGTTTATTCAGGCATTCTATCAAATTCAAATAATACATACAGAATCATTCCTGTAGGCGAAATAACGTCATCGGTATTGTTTTGATGGCAACCACATTTCATGATAGCATTGAATTCAACGGGCGCATCCAAGGAATCCAAATATTTCAATATATAGGGTGCAACAATTGAAAACATTCTCGCGGTTGTCATAACTCGAACGTGGATCACCCTGTATATTTAATTTTCCCTCATAAATGAGGTGAGTACAAAAGATTGTTGGTTCAATTTAGCATATATAATATGAGGTCTTTTTGGTAATATAATAATACTGTAAAATATCATAAGTTTATTACAAGTCCCCCGCAAAATGCGAATCTATATCACAAATATCTCGTTGGATATCAATCTAATAGCATAACATCCTGATGCAAGTTTATTGCATAAGTAAGGAACAAGCAAATCAAATTCAAGTTTTTTGTCCACAAATAGAACAAAATACTGTGTTCAATTTATTTTCGATCATTTGTTGATCCAGATATATCTGGCAACTCGGAAGGTTATCAGGTTAGTATTTTGAATATTGAACGAAAGTAGGTTTGATTTGCTCCATTGATGAATGATCAAGGTGTTATCTTAGATCATTCAGGATCTTGCTTGGCAGATAGGGACTGTTAGTACTGAGTGCAAAAACCCTCCAAAATTGTGTAATTGGACATGACTAGATCGGTTACTGCTATCCTCAATCAGTCGGACATATATTTTTTTTGTATTTTTGAGTGATTGAACTGTGAAATGCTGACATGCGCAGTAATGATCTCGAACTCTCTAAGAGATGCAGATATAGTGCCCACTTCGTTTAATGTCGACATATTTTCCACACGTAGTTAATATTGGCAATTAGCAGTCCACTTGAGCCGAGACAGATCCTTAATGGTCTTATACAACATTCCAAACAAGAAGACAGTATGTGGCGCTGCCTCTGGAGGAAAGTTTACACTGGAAATAAATAAATGGCATCTAATTCAGAATCGTAGCCATTCTAATGATTGAATTCCACTTCTAGTTCGTGTTTCTTTTCATGATTCAATGAATTAATTAGATGTGATGATTTTATCATCTTTCCATGAAAAAATCTTCAGTCTTTACGTTACGTCATATGTCATAATATTAGGTAGATGTAATATTGCCTCCAATATTGACTAATCAAAGCGTCACCGTCCCGCTTCACTATGGTTTCTGATGCTGTCTTCCAAGTCGAAATGGACTACAGGATGTTATGCCCTATTTTGGTCAACTATTTACTAACTTTTCAGGAGAAGAAGGTGGCGTCAGTGTCACGCTACTCAGTCCGATGTCAGTGCTGTCCGTCGACGCGTCTCTGTACTCCGCCACGTCCTGCTGAGGCTCAACAGAAACACGCGTCGTCGCCTGGCATCCAATAGGCGACGCAGCCCTCGGCGAATCGTTATCGGCGCCGTCGTTCGATTCTTTGCCACCACCGCCAGCGCCGCTTTTGGCTTTCGCGGTGCCCTTCACCACGTCGGCCAGACGGTTCTCACCCCAGAGGTTTGGCTGTAGGGGTTCCGAAGAGGTCTGCGTGGGCGACGATTCCGTGATGCAGTTCAATGTCGGTGGTTGTTTGGAAGATGCTTGAGAGCAAACGTCCATGCCTTGAATCATTGAGTACTAGTAAGAAAATATTTTATAGTTGAATATCAAACTTAAATTTACTTCCCCAGTAGTAAACCACTTATATATCCGCTTCACGTCTAACATGTTTTGTGATTGAATAAGAAATTAGCAGGGTCGTAAGAATCCGTACTACGTTCGAGGAACATCGTGCGTACTTAGAGAAAAGAAGGTTGGTTTTGTTTTTCAAATTTTGTGGAAAATTAGTTCTTGAGAATACTTGTTTTGGCACAAAAATTTCAAAGGTTTGATTTTCTACAGACAAACAAGTTTTGATAAAAACCAGGGGGATGTGGGGCAACAAATAAAATGACGCCGTCTCTGAGCATAAGTCAATGTGCAGACTCGTCAAGGGTCTATATCCGTCATACTTCTTCTCCTTATTTGAATTTGTAAATCCCATCTTCTCTGTCTTAGTTTTGTGATCAGAACCGTAATTATTAATTATAAAATGGTGAATACTGCCAATAATAACTGAATAATGCCATTCAATATGTCTAATGCAACACTAAGCGTGAAATGGTCTATTGGAACTACACACCACTGAAAATATTTGCTTTTGAATGAATGAAAATGTATTTACCTGGCAAAGGCGGGAACGCCTCTTCCACCAAATCAAACGTTGTCATCCTGACAGGAGGTTGTTCTATTCTGTTATTCGTTTGCGTCTGTGCAACCTGGCTGCTAGTGGAACCGAGGGTGTCTTCTTCGCGCTTTTTCCTTCTCGGGTGACGATTCGGCATGGCCTCTTTCAGGACAGGAGGTGCTTGAATATATCTGTACATTTCTACCATATCTGTGTGCATGATCGGTAGGCCTGAAACAATATGAATAATAAGACCATAAAAACACCAGAAACTTCTTTCAACAAATAAGAATACTAATTCATAGCGTTGAAAATCAAAAGATTCTCATTCGAATAATAATGAAATTGATTTGACAGTTGAATCGTTGGTTAGCCGAATAGGAAGATTGATATAGGTATCGCCGAATAGATGGGATGGATAGCTGTTCAGCTAAAACATTTGCGAAGTCTTCCGCCTATACTAGAAATGAGCTAAAACTTTATTATTTCAAATGAAACTACTCGTATTATATGATCTGATCCTCCTTTTGCTGAAAAATTCCTCGAACAATTGTACGATTTCTGATTATGTCCACAATAACAATCCACATAAACAATCCCACATAAAATCAAGTGCAAGAAGTGTCTGAATTTCACAGAGTTGTCATAAATTCACCTGATTTCAATATGTTGCCAATTTTTTTTCCAAATGGAACATTTGATATTTTGAATCGGATTTGTAGTGTACGATGAGTGATTTGATGAAATTTATAACTGAATGTGCAATGAGTATACCTAAAATAATGAAAATAATATTATTTTGTCAAGTGTAAAATGCACTCTTTGAACACATAATGATTGAAAATTTGATACATGTCCGAATGAAACTCAAAGAATGTACCAACACCTGAGATTATGCAAGATGGGTGTTTTATATCTGAAAAATTATATCCTGTGAAAACTCAGAAAATATCATATTCATTGGGTATCATTTGGGATGTTTACTAGATTTCAATTCATTTACTGATCCAGGAGCCCCATTTCAATTTTCGACAAGGAATCACCCACTAGTTGCGTTTTATTTATCCGATTCCGCCACCGGAATCACTTTGATGCGTCGTTTTAATTGCAACTTTTCCAATTCCGGTTGCTACTTTCCATTCCGTCTCACTACAAGGAATGATGTGGAATGACTGTTGACAAGTGTCAAAAAATCAAATTAGATTGACGAAAAACGAACCTTTTTGAAAGTAAAAACTTTCATTATCTTTATTATTCCCAAGAAACATATAATGTTTATAGCAGGGAAAATTATGAAAGAGCAACTAAAACACAAAAATTAAATAATCAGATAATCATTTTTAAATCATATACATAATACATATAATGTTGTTTCTTCTAGAGACTGTTGAATATAATTTCTTGAATTGATTAAGGATGATATGAAGAGAATCAAAGACATAAGTATTTTTTCAGTTCTTTTTTGAATTTCTCAACACTTAATTTTTTCTTCAGTCTGGCAGGTAATTCATTATAGAGAATTGTTCCATTGTATAAAATAGATCTTTTGTCCATATCTGATTCTTTCAAGTAAGACAGGTTTCATATGTTCATTCCCAAATAAAATAAATTCTGTCGATCTCAGAGAAGTTTCTTCAATCACCACAATCACTGCTCCAAATATATTAGTTGATTCATTTTCTAGATTCTTAACACTATACCTTTTCAACTTCAATTTCGGAATCGGTAAGTTATATTTCGGAAAAAGTAATCTCGATTTCAGAATTGGTTAGTTCCATTCCAGAAATGGTAAACTCAATTTCAGAATCGGTGAGATGAATTTCAGAAAAAGTCCATTCAATTTCAGAAATGGTTAGTTGTATTTCAGAATTGGTAGGTTGAATTTCAGAAAACGAATCCTTATATTTCTTTGAAATGTTTCCAATTGCATGTGAGATTAACAAACCATATTTACAATATTCAACTTTTCAAAATCAATTAAATAACATATTTATAATCTCAACTTAATCCACAGATATGTCTTCCATCCGATTTGCAGAAGGATAGCGGCGTTGCACATGATTATAAGAATGCCAACACATTTGAGGTGTTATCATTCGCATTGAATGTTTTGCACATTCTTCAAGACATCGCAGTCTGAATTCTATCTGGTTGAGCAATCCGTTCGGATCCCCAGCTATGACCCTTTGGCGATGCTCTTGTAAAAAGCTCTTCACTTTTGACTCAAAGGCACTCCATATATTTTTAATCTGGTTCAACATAGGGCTGTAAGGTGCCAATCTAAAAAATATAACATCTTGAAATTCTACCTCCATGCATATCTCTTGTATTCTTGAATGTGCAGGTGCATTATCCAGAACACCGTTCCATCCACTGTAAACAATTTTCTCTTTTGCAATTGAAAACATTTCAAACATATTCATCTTCTGCAATTGAACCTACCAATTCTGAAATACAACTTACCATTTCTGAAATTGAATGGACTTTTTCTGAAATCCATCTCACCGATTCTGAAATTGAGTTCACCATTTCTGAAATCGAACTAACCAATTCTGAAATCGAGATTACTTTTTCCGAAATATAACTCACCGATTCCGAAATTGAAGTTGAAAAGGTATAGTATGATTTTGAAGTTATTTGGATCCCCCATATACAAATATAACCTCTTATGTAAATTCTCGTTCGCACTTATTTGGAAACACCCTGTAGATACTATAATGGAAATTGTTCTTCAGAATTTCTGGCTATTATTTCATCTCTAGCAATACCAGTCAGATGAACTTGACAACGTCAGTCACCACGTTTGTCGTCAATCTCGAGTTGTGTCGAACCACTATTCTACAAAACTCGTTGAAACAGCAAATCTTTGGAATACAACCTCCTAAAGTTCACAAAGAATTACAATACATATCTCCTGTCCCTATCCAGTCCATGTACGCACGATGTTAGGGATTTCACATTCTGATTCGCAGAGGATAAAAAACAAACTATCTACTACATAGACATTCAGTTTGTTGAATGGAATAAGAATAAGGCTTCTTCTCTCCTCACCTACATAGCAAGTTTCTCAAGTGTTGAACAGGGTAGAGTGGAAGAATATAAGATGGACAGAGTTACACTACACTGTTTTACCACTAACCAAACCGATTTTTTAACGCCTCGACACATGTTTCGCTAACTATGTTAGCATCTTCAGGACAAGATTAAAACTTTTAATCTTCTCCTGACCTGTTTCTATACAGACATTTGATGGCAGCAATTTACAACTTTGGTACCAAATAGAAATGATTTTCAAAGCTGAAAAACTGCATGATTTGGTGAGCGGAAAGTTATTGAAACCAACCGATAATGCAACTGAACAACATTTCAGAGATTCAAGACAGCAATGCTGATATATATTCATGGAATTTGATCAGCTTCAAACGGTCATGTCATGTAAACTGCATCTGATATATGGGAACAAATGCAAATACATAAGCAAAGTTCTTCTGTAAATGAGGTCATTCTTAAACAAAAATTCTTCAATCATAGAATGAGTGAATCGGGTAGTATTGCTGAACATATAAGCAAAGTTGAAGCAATGGCACAAGCGTTGATCGATGTAGATGAAAAAGGCAGTGAAGTTGATGAAAATTTCAAAGTCTTGGGCAGTCTACCAGCAAAATATGGCTCACTCATAACTGCTCAAATGATGAAACAAAACAGACGTTCGAGAATCAAATCACTTGTTTACTAGAAGAGGAAACTCAGCTCACTCATACAGAGGAAGCAGCAACTGCATTTGCGGCAATATATTCAAAACTTTAAAAGGTAAAAATCTTATTTCGAGAGGCCAAAGTAACTCAGAAGATTCAAACAATAAACTAGAAGAAATCTAACATGATATTATTCTCAAAAAATAGGTCATTTGAAAACAGAATGCAGAAAAAGGAAAGCAGCAGTTGAAAGATGTAATTCAAGAAATCCAACACACGAGAACAGAAATCAAGCTCTCAGCGTAGAAATGAAGAATGTATCTACCAATGGTTATTCAGATGTGTGGGTAGCTGATAGTGCAGCATCTAGGCATATGACTTTCCATGAAGAATGGTTATCAAATATGAATGTACTGGATCGTGAAATTCCTATTCAGATTGGTGACAATTCATTTGTATATGCTATAGCTGTTAGATCCATTGAAATCATAGCACTGGTTAATGGTCGTTCAGTGCCAAAAATCCTCGAGAATACTCTGTATATACCGCAGTTAAAGAGAAATCTCTTCTCAATTGGGGCAGCTACAAAGGGAAACAAAAAGGTTTCAATCATAGAACTATACAGGAACTCGAATGGAAATGAACTGCTTGCAAAAGGCATAAGACAAAGCAATCAATGTTATGTGATAGAGTTCAAAATTGTTGGAAAACAGGAAGCAAATTCAGCGATTACAAACCCAGTCATGCATTGGCAGAAGCTTATTCATTCATTCGCAAAAAAATCAGATCCAAATGTTCTCATAAGTCCACAAAATAAGTGCTGGTCGGTTATGATTTAAACAGCACTATTTACAGAGTGTATAACCCAATTACAAGAAGAGTCACAGTTTCTGGTAATGTGATCTTTAATGAAAAATTTGCACGAGATTTTAATACTGGAAATAGCTACAATGTATTCGAGTTTAACAATCAAGATAAAATACAAGAGGATATTGAAAATCAGGAAGGAAAGGGGAAAGGAAAATAGTTCAACACAGTGAGTTATTGATCTGGAAGAAGTCCAAATTCAAGGAAATGAACAGTGGGAGCAAGCTGAAGTCTTCGAGATCTTAAGAATATTCATAGACCAAGAAGGTATTCAGAAAATCAAGTAATTGAATTGAAAAGGAATATTCTCAGATAAATTATGAACATGAAGAAATGGATATATACATATTAAAATTGGGAATTCGCATTCTCTATGTGATAAAAATATCAATTCTTTCTTGGTTTATTCAACAGAAAACAACTACTTTCCTGGCTATATGCCACGACTAACATTGAATTATATCTATTGAATACACACGATAGGAATGTGAACACAATAACTTCTAAAGTTGAGAATTTGCATTCTCCTTCAGATAAGCATCTGTATATGCACATAACATCATTCTGCGTTATCACGTTAAAGAAATATGAATGCAGTCTCGATTGCATAATAATACTGTCACATGGTTTTCAATCATTGTTGAAAACCCGTTAGTCGAACCCACAACTTATGACAAAGCTATCTCATGTGACCAGAAAGGGAATCGGAAAGCGGCAATAAAGGAAGACATCGATTACTTGAAGGAAAATTACAACTGGATATTACAAGAATTGCCACAAAATCGTAAGAGTATTCCATGCGAATGGGTTTTTAAAATCAAGTTCAAATCAGATAGTTCTATATACAGATATAGGGTTAGATTAGTAGCTAAGGGCTATCCACAAACAGCTGGGTTGGAATATAAAAAAAAACATTTTCTCCAGTTGTTAGATATGATTTAGTTCAAAGACTATTTACAATAGCATCTATGAAGGAGATGAACATGAGCCAGTTCCATGTGAAAACCGCCTGTCTGTATGGAGATTTGCATGAAGAAATATATATGGGCATACCACAAGGTAACAGAAAATTCCCATTTGGTGTGTAAATTACAAAAGAGCTTATGGTTAGAAACAATCACCCTGTAACTGGAATGAAACATTTGTTGGGTTCTTAAAAACCATCAAGTCCCATCAAAATATTGCAAGAGCTTTGATCTTGATTCGAAATTACGATTTGTAAACCAGAAATTTTCATTGGAATCGACATAGACATACTGTTTGCTGTTAGTGAAGTGAGCAAATTTTGGCTAATCCTGGTATTGCCCATTGGATGGCTGTGAAACGCATATTACGATATCTACAAGGAACAAAGAACTTAGGCATCATATCTGGAGGAGAAACGAAACTGGCAGTTTTTTGCAGATTTTGCTGGGGATTTGGATACACGGTGCTCAACAAAGATGTGTTTCACGGTCAACTACTGAATCCGAGTATGTAGCTGCTTCTGAAGCAGCCCAAGAAGTTGTTTGGCTCAGAATGTTGATCAACATCATCAATGTACCAAGCATATAGATGTGGAGTACCACTATATCAGAGAATTGGTCGAAAATGGTTCATTGATGATTTCATACATCCCTGCAGAAGAACAATCTGCAGATATATTCACAAAAGGAGTTCCGAAAGGAACATTCCTAAGAATTTTGACATTGATAGGTGTTCAATTCCCATCAGTCATAAGGAGTCGTAGTGTTGGATGAAATAAGGCTACATCTCAGATGTGAATTGTATTATGTGATCCTGTATGTTCTTGTTGAGTATCTATGGAAGTCAGTCGTGAAAATAAATAAAATATAGTGATTATCTTGAAAAGTACTTCTGAATTTCTTCTCTGGAATACTGAATGTTACATAAGAGTTTTAAACCAAAAAAATTAAGAAATAGTATAAAAACGCAATAGAAATCACAGACGAGAGACCAGAAATATTAGACAACAAAAACATGTGCTGTGACCAAAATTTATAAGAAAAGTCACTTACCTATTGGAGCAGTATTAGTAGCAATATGAGCATCGTGACTATCATTAACATTGTGGATATGGCTGGCCTTCGGAATGGCTCCTTCTAAGGAGTTCTTTGAAGAATAAATCTTGCTAATGCTGCCGTTTTGAGGTGAGATAACACCAGCGCCTTGATGCGAAGTCGATGGCCTAGAGATGCTCTGGCTGCTGCCTCCTTGAAGACAAATAGGGAAAAGTAAATTTTATGCATTCTAGCAATCTGTTGAAGGTAATTGAACAACCGATTATTCCAGTTATTAAATATTCACAAGAAACCAGACCGCCAAAGTCGAATCCGATCACGTAAACTTTAGGACAGCACGTGGTCGCGTGTGCATTGGATATGCATAATCCTTGAGTCACACGATGTCTCAAAGTTAACGTGGTCGGACTCTACATACATACTTTACCTGAACTGCTTATCAAACACAAAACAACAAATTCATCTGAATAAGAAATGAGACATTCAGGCTTATTCTGGTGACCATTAGATATTGGTTATTGAAGCAGTTCCAATAATCATAGCGGATTCTTATTCTGATATCCTCTCTTCAATTTCCAACATTGGCTATTTGCTGATTACCTTGGAAACCAAAAACTGATTGATATGTCAGATAAGTCAGATATGTCTATTCTAGTGACCACGATTTTTCAATATTACCCTTTTAGACGTCTGTAACTGAAATAGTGGTATGAAGAAATATTTGAAATTTTGATATTGTGTATACTTGACCTAGAAAATGTAGTAGGTAAAGATACAACGAATTAAGAAGTGGATTTACTCATTCGTCAGGCCGTGAATGAGGAGGAAATTCATTGATATTTCTTCAGTTTTCCATCCAAAGTGATCATGAAAGTGTGTGAATTGCTAAGGTGCTTAATAAGCAAATTATTTTATATATTTTTTGATCCATCATGCGGTCCTTGCTTTATTTTCAGGAACCTTTAGATCAACAAATGTGACGAAGTTGTGTGAATGTACCAAGTGCTATGATAACGAAGGAACCTCCTGCTCAGACCTGGTAGAATAATATCGAATTTTTTGTAGGTAGTTGAAACAATAAAAAATCATAATTTCTCTTGTGTAACAGAAAACACAATCCAATAAAAATGCACTTCAGAATATAATCAGTTTGGAATTAGCAGAAGGATTATTGAAAATTATAAATATAATGACAAGAGCTCGTGAATACGCTGGTACATGTTAGAATCATGTTCCAGTCTGCTGAAGCTGGTTCCTCGAAGGTGAACGTCTCTGGTGTCGCCTTGATCCCTGTTGTGTCGAGATCTCTCTCCTCCAACCCACGTTTCAAGACCACTACTTTCAACTCGTTCAGTTTCTTCATTGTTACGATCTGTTCACTTCACACTGGAATATTCCACTTCTGACACGAATTGATACGTTAGTCGGGTGCCGAAGCGAACACGGCACTATTTATTTCCGAACTGATTGATTTTTAACTAAAGGACCACTAATTTATATCGAACTTATAACTACTATTTATGTGAAACGATTTATATCACGCGGTATATGATTGCGTCTCTGACATTCGCTGCTTGTCTGACTGACGGTAGCTGTCCGGCCGTCCTTACATATCAGATCCCTTGGCAGGCTTTGCTTCTCGAACATTTTCGAATGATATTCTGTACCCTTCTATTGTTCTAGAAGCTTCTAGAACAATATATATCTCCCTCTAATTGTTCCATAGATTGTTTAGAGATGATTCCAGATTCTTCTGTCAGGTTATGTGTCGCCGTGACACCACATATTGGGTGTTCGGAAATACGCTGGTACATTTAATTGGGATGTTCGAGAGTGATCCGGGACGCGTGTTACTGGGTGATCGTTGTACTCCTGCCTTCCTGATGATGTTTCATGACCCCATCAAGATGAATATCATTACAATACTATTCCAGTGATTTTCGCTTCACCAAATACAAGTTCAGCTGTGTTCTACTTGTGTCTTTCATACTTATATTCGACTTGGTTGTCTGGTGAATCTGAAGGAAACGAAATTGAGGAACAAACGTTATAGGTTTCTCAAAATCCAACACTGTCAATAGTATCAAGAACAGTCGAGGTTCAAGGGTCCACCAATAATATTGATGAAATTATTGGGAATTTATCAGACTTTATCACGTTTGTCAAACAGAAAATTTATATTGAAAAGTGCGTTCTTCAATGATGCCACCAGAATAAGACATATTTCCAATGAGAGAGAAATTCAGTCATTGCCACAATAGTTCATAAAATGAACGAAAGTGGTAGATAACGAGAAAAACAACTACTTTCCTGGTTATATGCCACGCAGAACATTGGATTACATCCTCCCGAAATCTAATCAATAATTCGTGTAGAGTAGTGTAGACGAATAAAATCGCAAGTGTTTCCTTCCTAAACGCCGAGTTGCGCCTAAGTGGTTCAGGAACGCGTGACTACCTGCAGACCGGTTTCGAGCTGTTGGCTCTCATCAGTACAGGGCTGCCCTAGAACGCATCACAGCATTTATACCCCACGAGCCGTTTAACGTCCGCGAAGTGAACGCGAACGCCACCTGGCAAGGAAAGAAACACTTCAAAACAAGATCTCATTTCAGGTGAGATGGGAGTTGCTGGTTGCCCGACTGGCGTATTTTCAAATAGGAAAAAGCCAAATACTCAAAGTGGAAAGCATATTGCCAGGAAAGTAGTTGTTTTTCTCTCGTTATATACCATTTTCGTTCATTTTATGAACTATTTTAATAATGACTTTGAGTTTCTCTTTCTTTGTGACCATTGCATTCCACTTGGCGTATTTGACTTTCTCCTACTTGGACATATTTCTAATGTTGAAGTCATTGCATATCCTCAATATTGAGAAATAACCAAGGGTCACCAGAATTAGCCTCAATGAGGCAGTTCACAAAACGAAAAACTAATTTTATATTGAAAAAAAATACTGCTTCTGAATTGGATCATCACTTTGGCAATGGGCTTGTTTCAGTGAGAAATTTTATTTCATCATTTCAAAGTACTAACCCTATAAATAGTTCACAGTCGCGAACCGTTTTTTCCTCAGGGCTCTGTAACTTTTTCAAATAATTATTGAAATTCGCGATATTTCATAGCATGAAAAACGCGGGGAAACGGGTGACGTAATCATCCGAGAACACCATATAAGAATCAACTTACGTATCAATTCTCTTCTGATAGAAGATAACAACCACAAAAGAAAAATCAAGGAATCCGCTTGCATTCTTCTAAACGGAGACAATAGCATTGCTTCCTGTTCAGTTGATATAGATAGAACATGGTATTCAATACTGAAAACTGAACATGAAAATGGTAGATTCAAGATCAATTAATGAAAACATCCTGTAACTCAATTGTAGACTAAAATCACTCATTCATATGCCAACATCAGTATGACACTGAAAAGTGTCAAACTATAAGCAGCAAAACTTTCGAAGAAAAATATTTTGCATTTATATGTTGAGAACAGGAGCAGATTCGGTCCCGAAATGTCCAAGTAAAAAATCGATATTTTTTCAATATATCTATATTTCTTTCATTCAAACATTTTTACAAAGAACTTGTCACTGACAAGCTACTGGATTTTTCTTTTAGACTCCCTGATAGAAAAATTTGTTAAACGCAGTGACATTTTGGGGCAAATCATCTGATTTGTCCCACTACAAATATACTGAAATAATAATAATATATATTTTTATTTTATAGAAACGAGGAGAGAAAATCCCAAAGAATCAAGTAAAATGCCCAAGTCAAATTTCAAAATGTATTATCGTTGAAACAAAGAGTAAACTGCTTACCCTGAGAAGAACCCTGTGAAGATTGGTCGCTACCACCCGCCCCGGTCTGTATGCCCGCCCCGCTGCCGCTCCTCGTCGGCTTGCGCGTCCTGCTATTTTGATTCGACCGGTATGTCGGCGGATGTTTGAAGCTCTGCGGGGCCAGCCCGTTCACTTGAAACACGCTGCTGATGTCGAAATAGCCCGTCGCCGAGGGAGGCCACGCCACCGAGGCGTAGAATTGCTGCTGCTGGTAAGAGGGCTGAAAGAACATTTTTGCTGATTAGCATTTCAAGAATCATACCTAGGTCCAGTAACTTTGTCGCCTGAACATATGGTATGTATTTATAGTATGCGTCAAATCCGGTAGTTCTGATTTTTTGCAGAATTGTTCATGATGTTGGCCTAATGAGTGATCCAAGTTTGTGACTTCGAGCACCAAACGAACTTTGTCAAAAATCGAAAAAACCGCGAAAAAATCGTAATTTTCTCAAATTTTGGCGATTATAACCTTGAAGGACTAGTTTTTGAAAAAAAAATCTCAGGACGTTTTTAAAGCAGGTCAAATTTGCTACAATATGATACATAAGCTGGTTATAAAGGTCAACATCATGAACAAGTCTGCAAAAAATCAGAAATACCGGATTTGACGCATACTGTGATGTATAAAGTTACTGGATTAACCAGGTAATGTGGTAATTTTTCAATAGGCACTCGAAATGAGCAATCTCAGAAAGCAATTCACACTTGCTAGATAGGTCAATTTGGTAAAATATGGATGTGTAGACATCCAATGGAAAACAAATAATCATAAAAATATCAATACCAAATGACACACTTCAGTACATTACACATTAGATTGTTATACCCTACAAAGGGAAAGTGGAAAGTAAAAATGGAATACACTAACTAAATGACTGTGCTATCTGAGAAACAATAATTGCATGTCATTCTCCACTCATTTAATATGAAAAAAATTCCTACCCAGTATTTTGATACCGTTCATTCCCTCAGTTTGCTTAAATTCATCACTATGAAGGGCTTCAATCACATTGAGTTTGTGTGCATTTGTTATCCCTATCATCCAAAAACCAGTAAATTACAATGTAACGTGGATAATTAGTATGCTAGTGTTTTGATTTTTGGTATATTTATGGAAATTTTGTTGCTAGGGAATATTCATATACAGAGTGTCCGGTAAACCAAGTTCAAAACCTACCATAAAACCAAAACTTGACTTTTACTTTTATAAAAAAAATCAACTACGATCTCAGAATGGAGATTCTATTTCACGAATCGAGTCGAATCGGCCATCTTTATTCGATATCTGTTTCTCGAATGAACCGTGTAAACTCGATCCGATTCCTGGACAGCTCAAGAGGAATTGAATTGATGCGTGTTGTCAATCTATCCATAACAAATTGATTTTGAATGGTTAGTCTAATTTCAGAGAAGTACAGTCCGGAGTCCCCCAAGGTTTCCGTTTTGGGGCAACTACTCTTCATTATCTATGTAAATGACTTGACGCCAATTTTAACACCGCATGATAGTGTTCTGTTCGCTGACGACACCACCATGAGAGTATATTCATAAGTACTATGATTCCTTAATCTTGATGGCTACAGATGCAGAGCATAAAAATGAGAACTGGTTTATTGTCAATCGACTCAAATTTATTAATGATGAAATACAAAGATTGATATTTACCACCAATGCATCTACCCCAAGAAATCCCTATGTAATACTATTGGGTCTAATTATTGATCATAAACTCAACTGATTAATCAGGAATTATCTAGCTCACTATTCGGCATTCGCCAGTTGGGGCATATTAGAAATACAATTATTACTCTTAGAACTGTTTACTTCTCTCTATTCCAGTTTCATCTTGATTACGGTATACTACTCTGGGGTAACTCCTCGGAAGGCCCAACTGCATTCAGGAAACGAAAGAAGGCTATTAGAATCCCGGCAAAAGCCAAATATTGTGATACTTGCAGACCATTGTTCAAAAAGCTGAACATTATGACCCTCCCATCATTATTTATTTATATTCATGAGCATGATACAAGATGATCACATAAACTCAGAGTACCTAGATATAGATTCACAAAGTCCATGAATAATTCATTGAATTACCATCTCTACAATATTCTACCAGAATCATTGAAGAAGTTAACCATGTACTGCTCCAAGAAAACTATAAAATCATTTCTGTTGTACAATTCTTTCCACTCTGTAGAGGAATATTAGAAATGTGTTGAAGATGGTTTGACTTCTCACTCTCAATAAACCCAAAAATGTGTTGACTATTTTAATTTATTTTTATTTATAGGAACTAAGTTTACTACAATTACTAAGTGCATTGTTATTTGTATCTGAAATTCAAACTATACACAACATTTTTTGTGAAGTACTATGAATATGCAATTGTGTATAACATCATCGTATCCTACAACAATCGAAAAATCCCATTGCAGATCATTCCCTTATGTTCCAAGCCAATGAAGAGTGTTCAATGTTAATTCTTATTTTCGAGAAATATTGTAGTTGTAACAAACTCAGAATGCACATTTTCAAAAGCAGTCGTTTTCGGCACACAAAAAATATATCCTCCGATTTGGATGTTTCATGATTTCTATTATGAAACTTACTTCAATTGTTCACCGTCAATGACAGCTATCGAAAATGAGGATTAACATGAAACGCTACTTCTGTGCTTGGAACATGAAAGAATGATCCGAGATAAAATAATAATAATAATAATCGTTCTGTATTGATTTGAATATACATGATCCTTTTGCCTTTGAGTTTACACTAATATAATATACTCATCATTCCTACATGATTCTATAAATAATCACTGTAGATTGTGAAGAAAAAAAATTATATAATGTTTGTTAAGTTAAAATTCTTAAATCAATCAGAGAAGTATTTCAATGAGCTGGGCTAATTCGTGCAGGCGTGTCTCTATGGATTTTATGGCAGTCCTTTCATAGAGCAGATGGTTTTATCGGAGATAGAAGTTTTGTTTATATAAAATTTCAATATCTCAGAAACCGTGAGTATTTTACTGATGTCAAGTTGTGGTTTTCTGTTAGGTTATACTTGTTCATCACCAGCTACATGGTTTACATGAACAGTACAAGGAAGCAACTTACATAAATAACTTGATTATATGCAACAGGCTGACCGGGTGTACCATTGGCATAGATAAACCTCTGCTGTCCTGGAGGATAAGCTGCCGGATCATATACTGCTGTAGGAGGAGGAGTAGATCTGTAAATGAATTCCAAATCAACATGTTAATTAGGAAGAGGGCTTTCTACAATATTAAAAAAAAATGTTACTCAAAACACGAGAATAAGTGTTTGCTCTGATATTGTACACTAGAATAGACTGTATACCACTTATACCATTCAATGATGAAGCTGTGCTGTGTTGAAATGTATATTTATTTGGTATGGCGAGAAAGCTTTTAAAAATTCTAATCAATTCAAAATATCATATTTAAAATGGAGATCACCTAAAAAATACATCTCCAAGTTTATTTCACACTTTCACCATTTGATTTCTCAAAAACTTATCATGTTATTGAAATCTTCGAAACAAAATCAGATAGGGCGGGTGTTAAAATGTTTTTTCAATGGAAAATCCTCTATTTCAATGCATTACTTGAAAGGGTGATTTCTTTTATTTCAATAATATATAATTTTCAACATTCCACATATGGTGATTCAGTATAATAAAACTTAAAGTTGAGTAGAAACCAGAAGATTATCAAAAACACTGTCTGTTAAACCACAGCAAATTTGAATCAAATAAGATGATTTCATACCAAAATCTTCGATTAATTTAAAGTTTTATATCTTCAATTCGCATTCGCTTGCCGGTCGTGGGTTCGATTGCCATCGACTGCAGATGTTTTTCTGATGGCCCAAGAAAGTGTTTGGGATCACACGTTAAAAGGTAAGGCCCCCGTCATTCCTTGCTCGCACAAGACTCTTGAAGACTTCTGAGGGTTGCTCGTAAGGGGGCAACCGAATGACGGATAGAACAATTTTACAATATTTTAAAATTCACCCAAAATTATTTCACAAGATATAAAAAAAATTATATATTTTTTCCCTATGAGCGATGAAATATAGGGTCACCCACTTGAAAAAATAAAACATTTTCACCACCCTCCTCCCACCGGTATGTCAATTGGAAATATAAGGATTCACGATTTTGTTAAAAGTTCTCAGTACCTTAATCAAATTACGAGATATTGAGTGTTGAAAGCGTGAGATATACCGGGTGTAACGAGTAACAAAATCATGGTACACCAAACCATTTTGATAAACTTAGAGAGAGAGAGATGAAATATTCATCAGGCATATACCCCATTGACCGAATTTACATATTAATATAATATAATCGCTACATAGTAGGAATAATAATAAAAATAATGATAGTAATAATAGTTTATTGGTAAAAAAGATAATTGGATCAGTACTCGTAAAATATTTATTTCTGAAAATTCGAAATTTGACGTTCAAGACAGGATTTGATTTTTTCTACCATTACACCAGTCGATATAAGTACAGAGATTAGAATAGTAACTGCACACTTAGATGAAAAATCGAAAATGAAACTGAAATCAGTATTGAAGTTTGGAATATCAATTATGTTATTACTGGATTCAGAGAATGATGTAAAATTCAAAAATATATATGGTGTTCCATTCGAAAATCAAAAGTTATTACCACTTGCAGTGAAACCGGAAGTGGAAAATGATACATATGTATGTCAAAACGTGTTGTTCATCAAGATGATAAATATCAAATTTCAATCACTTATCTCTGAAGCCAACGGAAGAAAAAGGGGGTATACCACGAGTCAGTTGAAAAAGCAAAAAAAATTTTAGCCACCTGCATGTCGGCAAAGCCGCAGGCACAGCGGCGGGTAAAATATTTGTTTCGTTACCACAACTTAAAGCTGTTCTTAAATGACTTTTTGATTGTTCAAAAATTACCTATATATCCATTTTGGAACATGAGAGTATCGAATATTGGTAAATTTCCAGACCACCCATGAGGCACCAATGGCTGGTTAGTTATTTTTAGTCGGTGTTCGCCAATACCCTATCGTCCCACATTTGAAATATGAATATAAAATTAAACTAAATCAAAATTCTAAACAAAATAAAATATGAATATAACATTGAACTCGATAGAAATTCTCAACAAAATGAAATAAAAATAAAACATTGAACTTAATGAAAATTCTCAACAAAATAAAATAAAAATAAAACATTAAACTTAATAAATTAAATCAGTAGTATAAGGAACTTCAAGATATGTATGTAACAATATAAATAAGATAAATAAATGGTATATTCTGAAAGGTTTTAGCACGTCGAGTAGCAGTCCGGGAGTGCTGCCTCCGCCCGATTTGCCGGAGCTGGACGAGGACAACCCGGCGCCCCCTTATATGCCCATCCAGGGGCAGCGGTTTTTTGGTGAAATTAGAAATAGGTACAGTTCCACAGTTTCACTTTACATGTCACATCACTTTCCTACACTTCAGACATTTTCAATACACATGTTCACATCACTTTCCTAACTTCACACTTTGGTTATGATAATCACAATATGATTCACAACACACCACTTATTAGTTTTCGTAACTGTTATACACAAATACTGGATGATATTATCACTAGTCACTATCGAACTCTTCATGACTTGAATCTTCATTCACCCTAATGATCACTGGATTGATACGTGGTAAGATACAATAATAATTTTTTTATATTACATGAGATACACAATTTCTTCATATGTCACTCTCGTTTATCACATTAACTACTGTCCTGATGGTGGTTAAAACTGACTCGCTAAATTGCGGTGATTGGTTATTTTTATGTCCTTTGCTTTCAATAGCAGCCCAGACCATCTCAATGGGGTTGGAAACACAGTAATATGGGGGCAAACGTAAGACAGTATGGCCGTGTGCTCCAAAGAGTTCATCAACTACATATACCTTCAGGAAATTTTGTTTCCTGATCATTTCCAGTAATTCTTTCTCCAGTTTTTTTAGGAGATATTTCCATGCATTTTTTCTTCTATAAATTGAATAACGTCAGCCTTTTTCGTGTTGGTGCTCGGTATTTTCGTTTGTTGGCGTGAATGGTATGACGCATTATCCATAACGATGACTGAATTCTCTGGAATATTTGGTATAAGCTGCTGCTCTGCCCATTTCTCAAATAATTCTGCCGTCATATCATCGTGATAATCAGCATAATCGGAGGATTGGTTGATATTTTTGGCGGACAACAATGCATTGTCAACAAATCTATTTCCATTGCCGGCGTGAAGGATTATGATTCTTTTGCCTCTCGAACTCGGACCACTCACATTACAGTTTTTGCTATCATCTACCCAACCGTATTGAACAACGTCATGAGTGTCAAACAACGTTTCATCTAGATAAATGATAGGTCTATTCGCTTCACGGTATTCCTTTATTTTACGTAGATATTCTTGCCGATGGTCTACGATGCGTCTTGATTCCATAATCACCATCCTTTTGTCTAATTTTTCATAGCTGAACCCGTAATCTAGTAAAACATTTCACAACGTACTTAACGATTTGTAATTATAATATGCGTATTCATTCAACTCATCCCTGATATCTGGCTATGTTGGAACCTCATTCTCATTACACAATATATATATATAATATATATACAATTCGACGAATTACTTCTTTCAAAGCATCATCAAGCTTCTCGAGTATTTGTCTCACTCTTTTTCGTTTAACTTCATGATCTACAACATCTCCGGTTCTAATAACTATGTATATGGTGGTATAGCTTATTTTAGTTAATTGTAAACCGAAGTTGGTTTTCTGAAGAATCATTATTCTCGTCCTTGAGACGCGAATAGATATTCAAAATTACCCTTTGCGTTTGAACGTCTTTATTGGCGAACTCCGCTTGCTCTTCCTCCGAATCACAATCACTCACTTCGTTGACTTCCTCAAAAAGCACCCAGAACACAAAACCACTATGATTGAAATAATAATTTTTCTGAATTTCGAGTTGAAACAATGAAGACAACCTAGCTCGTACCGCACTGCCTAGCGCAGGCTAGAAGATTATTATCACACAGGAGGCGGAGGCGGCCCATGCAGCTCTGACCAATCAACATCCAATATAGTTTGGAGTAACCAATGGAAAGCTCAGTAGAAAATATCTCATTCATTCCTATTCCAATGTTAAGCGAATCGTCCTTAAAAACGGAAGTTTTTCAACTGACTTCGCATAAACTATACACCTTGTTTGCTTTGTCGATGAGAATGTTTTCTTAGACGAATAGTATACCCCGACTTCTTCAATCCATACCAAAAATAATGCAAGGCCGACTCACCTATAACCATTCTTGACGCCGACATTTACCCCGGTCGCCGCAACTGCCGCCGCCGCGGCCGGCATGGTAGGCAGCCTGTTCATGGGCTTCGCCTTGATCCTGGCCATGATAGGCCTGCCCTGGAACTCCCGTACCTCCTCCCTGAGGTACCTGTACGCCCTTTGCGCGTCCTCGTCCGATTCGAACGTCACGTACCAAGAGCCGTTGTGCGCGAACTCGCACGAGATCAAGCGGGGGCAATTTTCGCCGGCGAACAGGTTCTGGAAATATTGTCAGAAACTTACGGATTTAGACAATCCAGCTGGCTTGGTCGGAAAGTTATTTGAGAACTAGAAGACAATATATTCGTCGAATGTAATTTGTAACTTCGCCAGATCAACTGAATTTGGCGTTTACTTTTTCACATTTCAAATAGTGCCAAACTCAACTGTGGATCTTGTCCTATGGTATTTATCGGTCAGACAGTTCGTACGTTTAATCAGCGCATTCATGAACATGAGTTTTTTTAAAAAGAAAACAAATTCAACATACGCCAACCATATATTAGAAGAAAACCATAGTTTTGATGATAATTTCGAAATTTGACACGTAGAAAATAAAAGAATAAAACTCAATCATTTTGAATAAGTAGAAATCAACAAACTCGAAAATTCTAAACTTTTACTCAACTAGACCTCAATAGTTCACCACTGTTAAATTTGTTTTCTTAGTAGGTAATAATATGTATTTGCTATCAGCCCTTTCAAGTTAATCCAGTACATCATATTTCAATGTAGATATTGTGCCTATTTTCCGAAAATGAAGGTTTATCAAACCTTTCCACAGGTAATTCTAATACTTCAGGTTGGGAGAGTAGGATATATGAAAGTTAGGTAAGCCAAGGTTAGTTTAGTTCATTGTACCAGTATTGTACCTGATGAAGCTACTGTATTAGCAAAACATGTCATGTGATTAAGAATTTTGTGGAAATCTTATTGTTTGTGAAGTTTTTACATTTACTTATCTACTTGCAAGATCCTTCAGTACCAATAAAGATATCCTTGTATTCTAATTTTATTTAATCCCAGATTATTTTGTGGCACGGGCAACAGTGTAATGTCCAAGTATCCAGAAATACGAAAAAAGAAGACCACATTGTCAACCTAATTTCCTGACGTTAATATCGGCTGTCATCTTCATCGTCAAATCTTTGTTACATCTAGTCAAGATGCGAATATTTTTTTATTAATCACCTTAATGTATATAACATTTCTTTAGCACCCTTTAGTATAAGACAATACAGTTTAAACATATGTATAGCATAATTTAAATAAGAATGCACTTCCCAGTGATCCAATATAATTCGTGAATAGCAATTTGAAGCTTGCTGGTATGGGAATAATAGTATTATCATTACATGAGATGCGTGGAAATATAAATTGTGTAATCTCAAATTTTGGGATTTTTGACATTGACCTCATATTATAAGTCACGTTCGGTATTTACATCGCAGATTAGAGCAGATTCTAGTCACGTGGTCACAGATAGATCGGAGCAATCGGCAATAAACGAACGAAGTGGACATTTTGTTGACAGTGTGACGGTAACCTAACCTAACCCCATTTATTTATTTCATTTATTTCCATTTCAATTATGAGTATACCAGAAACTGTGCTAAATTTAGCTTTTGTTTCGGGACATCAAATTATTTTTGATGAGGATGATGAAGAGGAACGATGTGCTTTGAAAAAAGTTGAACATTTTGCCGAAGAAACAGTGCCTCATTTTACTGACCTGCAATTCAAGCAACATTTTCTTCATAATTCTCATCTGACGCCATAAAGGTGTGTGTTTTGTATTGTTCAGAATCAAAAAGTTGTATTTCATTCATTATGAAAACGTTATTTTGAAAATACGAATACGAGCACAACGGCCAGTCATACATAAACATTTGAACATTAATCTCACAAATAATTCAGATCAATCGCTTTGCTGGGTCAAAATTCTCCGAGAATTAAGATCTTTGTCAGATCGCTCCGATTTTAATTGCCTAACGGATGAGATCTACTTCCCCTACATCTAGATGTCATAAACGAACGATTCAGATTCATCGGAGCAGTCTGATGTAAATACCGAACGGGACTATAGTAGCGGCGACTGGTGAGAGTGAAAATTGGTTACTGTAGGTACTGGGTGATTGAATACAATAATTGGAAAATGTTGCTGAATTTTTTGCTTATTAATGTAGGTACAGGCTAATAATTTTAGTTAAAATCCATTGCATGCAATTATTTCCCGTATTTGGAAACACATTGGATATCAAGCCAGGTTTTTTCCATAGGTAGGAATAAGAATTAAAATAATACTTTCCATATTTTCACACTGAATTAGATTTCAATATGTCAAACATTAATTTGGGCTGATGTCAAATGATTACTAGGGTAACAAACGATGAATAAAGTATTTCTAGATCTAATATGTGTATCATGTATCAATAGTATCTATTATTTGAAGCAGAAATGAAAGATGATCCAAAATACCTTGACCTCCTCAATCGGTGTGTTATCAGGGATCTCCCTCAAAATAACTATACATCTCTTGTGATTGGGACGGACTTTAACGCCCTCTTCGTCCACCTGAACATTAGGCGATTCTCTCAAAACATCAGTGATCAACTTGATGTCTTTGGTGAGTTTCTTGACTTGATTGAAGTTGGCCACTGTCCAGATCGGTACATACTGGTCATTGTCCATTTGTGACAAGAGATACGTGTCATTTGCTAAGTTTTCCCTGGAACAAACAAAAATGTGTTATTGCCTTGTCAGGGGTACGACATGATCTTAAGGTCTAGAAAGGCAGTAGCAGCGCAATATCAAGAAACACCATCCTGATTGGTTCTTATATCGCTCGAGATCACATTTCCATATACGACGACGTGGAATTGTCAGTATAATATTATGTTGAAGATTTGTACTAGCTGCATACACGTAACTAATCAATAAAATAAGGAGATTTTGTATTTCATGTGAAATTTCTCATGAAATCGCAAAGCGCTTTCGGCTAAAAAGCCCTCATCAGTGCTATACTCAAAAAGGTCCAAAAATTAGTAATCGACGACATCATTATGGTACTAATACATTCAACAAAAAAGTTCCCTAATGGGTTATTGTAAAAAATTTTCAAAAATACATGTTAAAATTGTTCAGTTCAGGTCCAAGGAGAGCACGAGGGACCTCAACCTTAATTATTCTGACTAATTAAGGTTAAGGTCCCTCGTTAGTTTTTGTTAAATATATGTCTGTTCCTAATTCCGTTTGTACCATAATAATGTCGTCGATTACTAATTTTTTGACCTTTTTGTAAATACTTGACGAACTATGGCATTTTAGCTTGGGGAGCTGCTACAAATAACTATACGAAAAACCTCGAGAAGATTCAGAAATGGATCATCAAGATCATGTATAAAAAATCATATACCTACCCTACTAATGAACTGTTTCGTGAAACAAAATTATTTGACGCCCCACAACTATATTTCTTAACAGCCGTAGCGTGGCAACATACCCACAGAAATACATTAACACTAATAAACCATGACTATAACAAACGACATACAAATACTTCATCAGCTATACAAAGACCTGAAAAAAACACTCTGCAAAGAAGTTATACCTACTTAGGGCCAAAACTATACAGCTTAATTCCTCAAGAATATAAGCAATTCAATTCCACTCAATTATACAAATCGAAAATGAAAAAATGGATAAGCCAACATCCACGACTCTTCATCCATCATCATATAGATTTAAAAAATTCATACCATAATTTACAATGTTGAAAATAATATATAAAAACTGAAAATCATCTCAGAAGATTTTTTTACTTGTATTTGCACATATATATTGTAGAAGTAGTATAGTGATAGTATTTCCAGGTCATATCATATGTCAAGAGTCATGGTATAAGTAGACATATTTCACTACCCACAAGGTTTGCCTTTTGGTGATTTGTCTACTATGACCAATTCTCTGAATATGATATAAGAAATACTATTTCCGTAAATTATTCCATATACTTTCACCCTCATTATTTCAATTTCATCATCATTACCATTAATATGTAATATGTAATTATGTGAATTAGTTTAGATCTTATTATAATTATTATTCAATATCACTCCCACTACCAAGGTTGTCCTTGTTGGGATGTATGTCTTTATTTACCAATTTTCTCTTATTTTGCTTGTACTGGTGTACTTATAGGTAAATAAAATTATTATTATTATTATTATATTATAGCACTGATGACGGCTTTTTAGCCGAAAGCGCTTTGCGATTTTATATTAAATTCTTCACGAAATACAAAATCTCTTCATTTTATTTATAGTATAATATTAATCTAGTCCGAAAAGTACTGGAGGGAATACTGGGACATTCTCTACCCATCGAAAATGTTTACGACAAGCAGTAGCAAGCAAATCTGCTGAAAGTATGTTATCTTGTTTGCTGTACAAACCCACTCTCATATAAAATAAATAATTTCTCTGTCTTGTTTCAATTTTGACATTTATATTTATGATTTCTATTGCAATTGTTGTTTCTCAGTGTCAAGTTGTTTAGTCCCAAAATGAATGTGTTCATTTCCTATTTGATTATCTTGATCTACTTGAATATGTTTAATTTGTTTTGGAACATGCTCATTCTCGATTTGAAAGTGATCAACTCCAAGGTCAGGCAGCCGCGTGATTGAAGCGTTAGTGTTCTACTGCGTTAGTCATTGATAATAATAATTTGTCCCAAATACGGCCTTGTCCTCTAGTTTTTCAATTAGGTTGGGATCAAAAAATTAGGAGAATGAGAAAAAGTTGATTATATGAATTAAAAACGAAAAAGTGCCTTTTGGGAACGACAAATTTTTTTAATATTGTGCACCTCTTTATCGAAACCTCTAGATTTGACTCAATAGGAAAAAAGTTGTATGTGGAAACAACAAATACATTCAGTCTCACATATATTTTCCTGTTCTTTCCAAGTTTGTAAATGAAATTTTAAAATATTGATATACAGGTTGTTGTTTTAACTCGAAACCTACTTATTGATTTTTACAAGGACAGCCCTAGAATAAGATTTTTTTTATTATGTCAATCGTCACCACTGTGGACAAAAAACATACAAACCAAATATCGAAAACATGTATAGGGTGGTTCATAAGTTATGATTAATTGAAAAAAATGGGGAATTAATAAATCACCCTGTATCTTGGATATAGAGTGATAGACCCATGAAATAAGATTATTCAGAAGCACCTCGGTGTCCTCCATCTACCCTTACTGTATTTTTTTTATGTTCTGGTTCCCACGAAAAGGGGTATCCTGTAATCATCAGAAAACATCGTGAGAACAAAGGGAAATAAGGTAGGAATTGGTGTTCTTCTTAAATTTCTGGAGGTTATATGCCTCTGGAAACAACTCCCTTGGCAATGTGTTCCAGAGCCTGGCTGTTCGCTGGATGAACGAGTCTTTGGAAAGAGATGTTCTGCAGGTCTCCAAAGTGACCACGAAGGGGTGCGAAGCCCCAACTCAACGGGTTATTCTCGCGGGGACTGTCAAGGGAGGAACAATTCTTGATATTTCAGAAGAGCATCGTCCATGAAAATATCTATAAAGTAGAGCCAGATCGCCAACTTTTCGACGGTGTTCCAGAGAAGTGAGTGAGTTTGTGAGCGAGGCATCACCCACGAGACAAATTGCCCTTTTTTGGACAGAATCCAACAGTTTCAGGGTATGTTTGGGTGCTGCACTCCAAATATGGGAACTCCAGGACAGGTCGGATTTGTGCCTTATTGATCATACGCAGCTGACTGGAAGTGAAATAGCTCCTGGCCTGAACCAGAAGACCAAGTTTTTGGGATGCACTTTTAGCAATTGATCTCACGTGATTTTCTCAAGAAAGATTATCGCTGATAGTAATACCAAGCATCGAAATGCATGTCTTCAAAGGTATGCTTCCTCCTGACAAGCTTATGTTGGGCACAGTGAGATCGGCTTTTCTAGAGAAAAGACATGCTTGTGTTTTGTTTGCATTGAAATCTACCAAGTTATTGGATCCCCATTCGAGAATTGTTGCCAAGTCCATATTTATGTTCTTAAAATTTCTCCCTCGTTCGTTTCTTATTTGCCTGGCTGGTATTGGAGCCCTGGAAGAGAAGGCGGTATGGAGGGTACTATCATCCGCGAAGCTGTGTACTGGACATGAAGTTGCTTCAAACAAATCGTTGATATGGAGTGGAAATAGTGTTATTGCTAGAATTGATCCTTGCGGAACACCAGCATTTATGATAAGAGAGTCAGATGAAACAAGGAGTCCGTGGTGCCAGACTAGATCAAATGCCTTGGAGATATCAAGTGCAACGGCTAAGGTTTCACCATATTATTCAATAGATTGCTGCCATATATGTGAGACGTAAGCAAGCAGGTCACCAGTTGATCTGACGGAAGCCATATTGCCTATCGTTGATAATACCTGAATGTTGCAGGTATTTCATGAGCTCGATGTTGATAGCTTTCTCCATGATCTTTGAAATAATAGATAGCAGTGCGATCGGTCTGTAGTTGCTAGGTAGGGTCTTTTTGCCTTAGGAACTGGTTGTACTCTCGCAATTTTCCAGTTGGACGGGAATATCCCCAATTTGTAAGAGTAGTTGAACAACTTGCAGAGAACAGGTGTTAGTTCGGGAGCACATTTCTTGAGAACAATCGGTGGGATTCCGTCGCAGCCACAAGCATTTCCCAATGAATCCCCCTGTATTAGATCTGCAGATGTTTCAAGGCATGACAAGTGTGTCCTCAATCTCCAAATAGCTTCAAACGTTAGACCTTCTAGGCACTTTACTTCCCACTGCTTACCCAAGGTCTATTAAGTTCTATAAGGTTACCCCATGGTATAGCATTATGGTGCGGGGGTGCGCGGAGAGGGGGAACGATCTGTGACGTCACTGTTTCCCCGCCGTGTGATTGTATGTTTCGTATTTTGTTTGTTTTAAATTCGAAAGATTTGCGAATTTTTGACTTTAGTTGAAAACGTGGTGACAAGAAGACTGAAGATATCTTTGAAAGAGGGTGATAGGCTGTGTAATAATATGGTGTATTATTCAAAGGTGTGTGGAGTCAAGAGTGGATATAGAACAGACAAATGTTATAAAAAGCCTGTGTTTACAATCATCTGCTCTTGGGCAGCCTCCACATGAGATTCAAATAATTCCAAAGCAAGATAATGAGCTGTGGAAATGTGAATGTTCCTGTGAAGCAGGCATGTCATGGTTTTGTAAACACATTTTATAGGGACTTATATTGACAGGTAGGAAGGTGCACTTTTGATCTATCACACACAGGTAAAAAATGAATGAAATTTCAGGAATGAAGACTTGGAATATGTGAAGCTGCATATATAACACACACAGAAGTGGTGAAAAAAAAAAGAGAGTTGATCAATCAAAGATCTATTATACAGCAAAACCATTTCCATAGTTCTGTTATCCAGTTATTAAAAGAAGGAAAGTGACCAGTACCTACCTACATGCAGGGTCAAGTAGTAAGGATGGAAATCAATGGGGAAATCATTCACCATTTATGTAATTCAAGTCAATTTTACAGGGTATATCAGTCTCTTTCGTTTTTTTGTTTTGAAGCCAATGAACTCAATGTAAACAACTATTGCATGGTACTCAGGGACACTGGCGAGTTTATTAAATTTCAACATACCATCATGAAAACTGTATTACATTAATTTTGAATTATTTTAGGCTATACTTGCTACTTCATTTTTACATGTAGCAAGGAGTCTTGGGAAAAAAAGGCAATCAACTTCTTCTTTCCAAAGGATTTTACAAATGAATTTGTTCAGCATGGAGTTGAATATGAATCCAAAGCTCTTTTAAAATGTTCATTGAAAATAATATTGAATTTCAAATCATGCAAACAAATTTGTGTCCCAATATTTTCCATGGTTAGGATTTTCTCCATATGAAATTATTTTTCAGGAAGGAAGACCATGGAAATAATTGAAATAGTGTCCTCACTGAGGCCCTTACATAGCTTGAATTATTTTCTCAAATGTTTAGGTAAAGAAAATGGTTCAGAAAACTTACATAGAAATTTCAGTTAATTTCATAAAACATTTTGTGTTAATCTTATAAGATATCTTATATAAAGATATTTCCATGATTTAGCACTTTTATTGCATTAATAAAATGGAATGAATTGTGATAATGACTTCTTTATTGATTCATTTTCTTATAATTTCATTTTCAAACAATATTTTCCAAATTGATACTGAAATAAAACCATTGAGTTAGAATCATTCAATTTATTCAAAAGTAAATCCTCTTTAGTTCATTGTTTCTTGTTTCTCAGAAATGATGGCCTTATCAATTTCAAGAATTTTTCTTCACATCCCTTGTCAGCATGCTCTTATCCACCATGATCCCATCATTAGGTTCAGACTTCCCAATAACGTTTTCTTTATTAAAAAATGCTTTATCAGTAGCTCAACTTCCATATCCTCAAATGCCAACAGTAATCAGTCCTGATGGAGTGATATTGCAATAAGAATTTGACTGAGTTTTTGAAATGTGTCTGTACAACAGGAGCACTGAGGAACATAACATATCTTTCTAGATTTCTGTTTTCAGTCTTTTGTACTTGCTGCATGTTTTGGGAAAACAGTAAACTATCTCGTGAATACAAAAACATATTGGAAAACTTCAAAATTTATCAAAATTCACTGGATTGCACAATGCTAAATTTGTTTGTTTTGTTTATCACCTCCACCATTTTCATTTTGCCGCTCGACAAAAGACGTCTGGGGAAACAGTGACGTCAGGCAGGGCCTACTCTATCTTACCGGGCCGTAGTCTATCCCCTCTCTCTCGACGCTGACGTCACACTAGTAGGTCGAGATTTCACATCAGTCCGTTCTGGTGCGTTCGTAATTGATAGGCTATAGCTCATTTACTATGAATTTTAGAAGCACACTCAATCGAGACGAAATGATCCCCAACAAATTCCTCAACTTTTGGTGAAAAAATGAATTCAAAAGGATGAATCACTACCGAGTTATGGCGTTGTAACGAAATTCCATTTTATTGAAAATCAGGACGTTGTACCACAGAATACTATTTTTTGCAAATTTGGAATTGGAATAAGATGAAACTAACTCAATATATCAAAAAAAGATAATGAATCAATTGAATAGTGAAAAAATTGTAGAGTTACCTACAAGGAGTCCGAAAGAAATTAAATATACAGAGCGCGTAAAAAATGGGCGTTATACCTACCTACCCAAATTTCGCTGTATTAGGATTTCGCGGTAATTCCTTGGACTCTTAAAGGGCGATATACTTTTTATTACTCATTATATTTCTAAATGGCGTATGGTTCAGACCAACTGATATTGGTGTCTGGAAAATTCGAAACAATATTTCTACAATGTAAGTCACAACATAAAGTTTTGGAGAATTTAGCAGAAATTAAAATCAGTTCCCTTCTCAATTATTCCGAGAATCAATGTTTCAGTTGTGGGTCTTTTGATGGAATCAGCAGAACATTCTCTAAAACCATTTCAAATATCTGTTGTATCTGTCTGTTGAACAATTATTGCAAAATAAAAAAAAAATTAAAAAGAAAAATCACTAAACTTTCAGGATGAGATATAGTTCAGATTTCAATTTTTAGTTTGTGATTAAGATGATGTATATATAGTTTTTGTTATTAGTGTATTTCATTTTGTGATATCTATCAATTTTTTTTATTTTGTTATGTTGATCATTTTCACAGTTCATTTTGTTTGGTTTTGTTTGTGTATAAGGATTCAACGTTTTTTTTTTTCATTTTTTCCTTATTCATTCATATATCGTTGTTCTGGGTATTTTGTTATTCAGTTCGTTATATTCATTTTTATATCTCTCATTGTTGAGATACATATTTTTTCAATTATTTTTGTTAGGTTGTGTTCATATGAACTCCACATATTTTGTTCTTTTTAATTTTGATAGTTTGCAAATATATTCAAATCAAAATTTTTTCATGAATTTAAAGTTATCATTCAAATATATTCACTTCAGCAGAAAATAATTGATACCGAATAGGCGTTTTTGTGTAATAACACACTCGAGTGATAGGATTTCTAACGTCATCAAAGTGCGTCCTGATCATCTTTAGAGATAAACGCTGCTAAAACCCTTCGAGATGAAGTGGATGTGTATTATACCGATTTGTAGGCAATCAAATTTCCTACAAAAAAGTCAGTGACAGCATATATCCATAGTTGATAGGATTAGCATGGGAGGCGTCCGAACTTTTTGAACTATTCTGTAATGAATACCTGAATCATCGTTCTACTTGAATTGAAATATCGATTTGTTGTTGGCCCTTGGGAATTTGAGAAAAAACTCAGTCAATCTAGATACTATGCGGAATCTTTTCATGATTGAATCATTTCTGTGAATTGAATATTGAAATTTTGGTAGCTGTTTGAAAAAGGACAATTCTGAATGGCGTCAACTAATTTTGATATGCCATATTTCTGAAATTAATGATCGTAAATCAGTGAAATTTGATTCATCTTCTGGAAAATTCTTTTCTGTACATATTTGACCTCTTGATATTTTTCGCTAACTGTGACCGTTTTCCCGAGGTAAATCAATGAAACGGGAGAGACAATTTCCACTGCGTTGATTTTGTCCCTACTAGTGTGACGTCACGAAAGCGATGCTCCGGCCCGGTAAGATAGAGTAGGACCTGCGTCAGGCCAGAAAAATATGAGGCAACCTTATAGAGTTAAATAGCCTTGCTGCTCACCTAGAGAAATAATACTCCAACTGCTGCGAAAGCATCTGCTTGAGCTGCGGCAAGGGGTAGGCGGGCTGCTGCGACGAGGCGGCGGCATCGAGGGAAGGCACCATCGACGCGTGCCGCCCCTCGGTCCCCTCACCCATGCCGTTGACGGCCGCCGCGTAGAGGTGGGCGGCGGGCGCGGCCATCGGATCGGCGGCGGCAACGTACGCCGCCCCCGAAGACGGCTTACCGACATCACCGTTCATGTACGCGTATCCTGCAACAGGGGGAAGTTTGCGCTGTAGATACATAGACACAAGGACGATATTTTTTTAAGGAAAGTACCTATCTTTATACAGTATTACCTATCTTCAATCAGGATTACAATGTGTCACGCAATATTTTTACATATTTTGTAACTTCTAAATATTATTGGAGGTTTTCATTTAGTTTTAGACTTCCACATCATATTCTTGAAGAAAAATCAACCATCGATAAATTTGCGGGTTTTCGTAATAATTGCCTAACAATCAGTGAAAACGGTGAATTTCAATCCAATAAGGAAATTATGCTATCTTTGAATGCAGCATACTATTGCCATCAGTTCCGATTTACTATACCTTTTCAACTTCAATTTCGGAATTGGTAAGTTATATTTCGGAAAAAGTAATCTCGATTTCAGAATTGGTTAGTTCGATTTCAGAAATGGTAAACTCAATTTCAGAATCGGTGAGATGAATTTCAGAGAAAGTCCATTCAATTTCAGAAATGGTAAGTTGTATTTCAGAAATGTTTCCAATTGCATGTGAGATTAACAAACCATATTTACAATATTCAACTTTTCAAAAACAATTCAATAACATAATTATAATCTCAATTTGATCCACTGATGTCTTCCATCCGAGTCGCAGAAGGATAGTAGCGTAGCACATGATTATAAGAATGCAAACACATTTGAGGTGTTATCATTTTCATTGAATGATCTGCACATTCTTCAAGACATCGCAGTCTGAATTCTATCTGGTTGAGCAATCTGTTCGGATCCCCAGCTATGACCCTTTGGCGATGCTCTTGCAAAAAGCTCATCACTTATTCTGACTTGAAGGCACTCCATATATGTTCAATCGGATTAAACATAGGGCTGTAAGGTGCCAATCTGTAAAATATAAAATCTTGAAATTCTTCCTCCATGCATATCTCCTCTATTCTTGAATGTGCAGGTGCATTATCCAGAACTACCACTATGGTATCTGCAGGATGCCCATTTCAAACGCACACTCTCAAACACCGTTCCATCCACTGTAAACAATCCTCTCTTTTGCAATTGAAAACATTTCAAACATATATAGGGATTCATCTTCTGAAATTGAACCTACCAATTCTGAAATACAACTTACCATTTCTGAAATTGAATGGACTTTTTCTGAAATTCATCTCACCGATTCTGAAATTGAGTTCACCATTTCTGAAATCGAACTAACCAATTCTGAAATCGAACTAACCAATTCTGAAATCGAGATTACTTTTTCCGAAATATAACTCACCGATTCCGAAATTGAAGTTGAAAAGGTATAGAGTGATATTTTGATCCAACCTCGGTCGTTTTTTGAAACATAATCGACAGGGCGGGGGTCATTTTCCTCACTGCCTTTTGAGAGCATACCTGCTCAACCTAAGGCAGAAGCATTAGTGTAGCATTCGGATCATACATCGTCAATACTGGCTCATTACATAAAGTATAATATGAATCCACGAATCCATTTTCTTGTAGTTCAGTCCATTCGAAATTCGTATTTTTCTTCGTTAAACCAATTATTGGTAGGGCACGTATTGCATGATTAGGAAAAATAGTCGAAAATATGCTATAAGTCCTACTAATCTTCATATATCATGTACATTTCTTGGTCTTGGGTCTTCCTTTATTGACCCAATTTTTGCACCCCCTGGTGTATACTAGTTTACCGACACGGTATATCCAACAAATTCGAGTTCTTTCAAACCAAACAGCAAGCACTTCTTCTATTTTAACGTCGATTTTGCTTTCCTTAATGCATCGTTTTCTTTCAGCACATACACACGCTATGTCTAAGTTGTGCATAAGCTACATTAATCTGCAGAATTCATACGGAGCATTTGTCAATTCAAAAATCATTTGCTCAAATTGACCGGTTTCGTCAGGCAATAAATAAATAATAAAAGCAGTTTTTGCTTCTCCTTTGTTAAATGAATTGGCAAATATCAGTGAGCCAAATTGAATGTAGTGAAAATTTTACATCCTTTCAATCTTTCGAATTGTTCTTCGATAGTTGGTATTGGATAGGGAACAATATAAAATGTACATTTTAACAATAAACTCAACTCCATTGATAAAAAAAGATTCAAATATTATATTGTGAATTTAGGAAGAGAAAAAGTTCATTCACTTGTTGTAATCTAATTGTCTGTTTTATACTTTATATTGCTCACCCTGTTCCATGTGTTTTTTACTTTTATTCATACAAGATATAGGTATTATCTGTATTGATTTATTCAAGAAACATTGTATCTGTTATCACCAAAATTACTCAATTAAGAAGACCATAATAATAATAAAAAAAAAAACATATGACATAACTTGTTCACGCACAGCCTTTTGGCTTCAGTGGACAATATACTCTGTGGTCTAACTGTTTATTCGGACCTCGATTCGGACTATTCCACATAAAACCCTATAAATTTTGTATTTTTTTTGAGTGAATATTTATTATGAGATAATTCTGTTAAATGTACTAGTTATAAGATCCTGAATAAACGATATTATTATTATTATTATTATAGGGAACTCATTCGGACTGCCTATTCAGCTTCCTATTCGCGATAGAAAATAACACGTTGCCCCACCTGACGGCAACATCTTGAACACTTCTAAGCGGTTTGTTTTGATGATGTGACCAATAAGCACAAACAAGAAAAAAATGTGAACCAATGAAAACAAAGTAAACAGGCCGCTTTGACAGCTTTCAAGAACACTGATAGGTGGCGTACATTTATTTTCTATCGCGAATAATTAGGTAACAACTGAACGAGGCTCTCCCGTCCTTTTTAATTACAAACAAAACAGGACTGCATATGGACTGCATGTTTCCGTCACAACCCCTTCATTTTTTCATTCTTTTTCCGTTCTTCCAAACCTGCTCTGTATGGCTTTGATATTTAACTAGAATATTATTATCATGAATATCCATTTTCAACGAATGTGTGCAACCTCCCGAAAGTTGTTCAATGAATCGATTAACATACCCTTCATTTCAGATGTTATTGATTCATCAACATTAATTTGGTTTTGATTTATCTTCTCATATGTCACATTTTGCTCATCAGATTTGTTAGTAGTACGAGAATGTTCCGTTGAAAACAGGCACTTGAACCTAGATTTCATTCACGAAAGAAGGCAATCAGCATTACAGTACAGAGTTTGATAACATCACGATTAGTTCTAATATTAGACCAGTGCTGAAGCCTTTGAAAATTGCAAAAAGGGAAAAAATCATAGAATGAAACCCATTGAAGAAGGAAAAGAATTCAACGAAAATAATAGGAAAATAAAATTACGGGCGATCTGAGGTCGGGCAGTGGAAAGGAGTGAGCTTTTGAGGTTAAAAAACGTATAATCCCGATTTCGGGTAAACTACAAGTCATATAGGAAAAAGTTCACTAGCAAAGTTGTAGGTAATAAAAAGATCGATAACTTTTGTTTCCACACTTCTTCCACATAACCTAAACATTTATGTGAAAAATTCAACTAACCAAGTTTTAGGTTTTTCATTTTAATCTTTTAGAAAAATTTTCGAAATTTCATCTCTATTGACAGGTTATAAAATGACACTTTGCATAAATTACTTTTTTCCCACGGGGTAAAAATAAGTACTTTTTCTCGGATATACATATATCACATTATATACAACACTGTTGATGGCTTTTGTTGTGCTATAGTTCCGAAAAATAAGCCAATAACGCCTTGTCCGAGAAATAACTGCAAGACCTTTCATCTTCCATTCGACATAGCGGTTACGTAATTTACTAAACAACCACTATATTCACAATTTCTTGAAATCAAATCACAGAATTAGACTGACAGTTATTTGATTACTTCAAAAGAATGATAAAGATGTCTGCAAAGAGATGCCTGCAGCGCAGGTGTCATTCCTGTTAAAAAATTCAAATTTCACGTCGATAATTTTCGGATTTTAATATAATGTAGTATCTTCTCAAAATTGATTCGTCCTTCTTCCTGTCACAGAAAAAAAATGTAACATACACGGGAAAAAAGTATTAGATTTTAGCTCACGGCTTTTTTTCTCCCTCCGCTAATCGTCGGGAGACAACACAACTTGGAGTTAGAATCTAATACTTTTTTCCCTTGTATAATAAATAACTAAAAAAAAAAATCTAAAATTGTTTTAAAATTGTTCTATCCGTCATTCGGTTGCCCCCTTACGAGCAACCCTCAGAAGTTCGAAAGTCTTGTGCGAGCAAGGAATGACGAGGGCCTTACCTTTTAACGTGTGATCCCAAACAATTTCTTGGGCCATCAGAACAATTTCTGCAGGCGACGGGAATCGAACCCACGACCGGCAAGCGAATGCGAATTAGAATATAGACACTCTGTCCGCACGGCTACCTGGCCCTATTTGTCACGAAAATTGGTTGAAACTCATCTCTTCATATACCAAACACATTGTAATTTTTCTGATTAGAAATGTTCAGTTTTTCACCTTATTTTGACTTAATTTCGAAAAAGCACCCTAATTTTCGATTGAAAATTCTCGCGTCAAAATTTCTGCTTTTTCAAGAAAGTCGATGGTCTTTTTGTTCGTTGAAATCTCTACTTTCCGATGGTGTAAGAGATATACCGGGTGTTTCTCAAAAGTGGCTCACCCCTATAACTCTTTTGTTTATACAGATAAACAAATGAAATTAGGTGTCTGAGTATAGTATATAAATATGCATTATTTGGCATATTCAATTGTTTTCTGTCCTTTCCGGTTTGACGAGAAGCCATATTTTCTTATTTTAAATGGGACAGCCGGTATATTTTTACTTATTTCGATAGAGAATATCATTGTGAGTACAATGAAACCACATGCGCCACTTTTTGACATTTATCATCCTGATATTTTCTTTTTTCAATTTTCAATCTAGAGTGATATGAATGAGTTGATTTTGAATCAAGTTTTACTTATTATTTGTTTCACAGGTTCATTCAAAGCTTACAATATCGTAATTATGATGTTGACA